TCTTCATAATACAATATTGGATTTCAAAATGATGATGTTACCATTTGTGCTTGAGTTCTGTTGTGGGAAATATATATATATATATATATATATATATATATCTCAAGAGAAGTAAATGCTATCAAAACTTACCGAGCGAGTATTTAAATAGGGCATTTCTGTATTGCGGCTTTCATATCTTGTGACATGCGCATGACTTTTGTGCCGGCAGCATCGCAGCCAGCCTGGTGTATTCGTACATCACGCTGCGCGAGGAGCAGCCCAGCAATTTCAGCGAAAGCACCAAAATGGACATCAAGGGCAAGATGGTTGTATGACGCTGGATTCTGTTTCCTCTTTTGCTCATGCGCGTGTCCTTCTTTGAAACGCTTTATGTCTTGAGGAGGAACCGATGGTTAAGAATCATCATTGGCAAAGAGGGTTACGATTATTCTTAGATTTTTTTAAAAAGAGACAGTAGTCTTCCTATTTTTTTAAGTATTGAGAAGGGAAAAATATTTATGGAACTTTTATAGACATTTTACTGGAGAAACGCACACAAGAGTGCCAGCTGTTTCTCGCCCCCCGTAAAGTGTTGTCATGAGCCGCCAGCATTTTATTCATGTCAGAAATTATGCTCCATAATAATAATATCCGTTCGCACTCTTCAGCCAACCAAATCAAAGAATCCACATTTGTATCCAAATTGTGACGGCTGACATCTGCTTTGTTTACCTGCACCCATGGTGGCCGAGAATAGTTTTTAATTCATGTTTTTATGATTGGATCGATAATTCCAAAAATGAATCAGATAAGAAATAATTTTGCTTTAGAGTTTAGTGCAAAATACCCCCCCGCCCACCATTACTATTTATTAACCAATTATTTGGCTAGATTAAACAAAGCCACATAAGCCATCTCGCGCAAGATGGCGCAGAGCTGTGGGCTATTTCTTGACGACGGTTGCAAATAGCCATTATTTTCGTAAGAGATGGACACACACACCCCCCCTCCCCCCTCTCTCTCGTAAATGGATTGATCCACTTCCTGGTTTGGTCTGTAACATAATGTCAGGAAATAGGCAAATTGTTTTCCAAAATAAAAGCAGGTGTCTGCCAATGTCTTATTAAAATCCGATTATTTACTCTTCGGAGGCTGAAATTCCAAAGGATATGGTCAATTTTATGAGTTCGATCAATTAATTATCAATTGTGAGACGTCTAGCTCCGAGCAGTTTACAATGTCACGTTAACATGGATGCCTTTGATGTCATGTTTTCTCTGCACTCGTTTAGTCTTTTACCATGTTTTTTTTTTTTTTGCACATGCACTGTTACAACATCGGGACAAAGTGGAAAAAGAAATGTTTACTTTTAGCCTGATCAGTTCGTGCTACAAAATGTGGACGTGCGTGTGGTGAGCTGTTGTCGTCTGATCAGCCCGCCTCACCACCTCGAATAAAAAATTGAGGGTTTTATGATTTGTTGGCTCTTTTTTTTATTTGTTTTTTTGTAAGTCCTCTATGAATGTTTTTCTTTTTTTTTTTTTAAATCGTATTTTGGTTTAAAAGAATGAATTTCATTCAAAGTGTGGCTTTGGTACTGTACTTTTTTTTTTTTTTTTTTTTTACAAAAATGCTTTCCAATGTAACATTTGTTCCTGTCATTGAATTAAAAGATGAGCCTTTTTGGTCTTTTTCCAATTTGCTGTGGATTCTTGATTCTCGGATGAGCTTGACGTCAAGCTGCCGTTTGTGGACGCGTTTTTAAAATAATCACGAGATAAGTTTGACAGTTTGCCTTTGGTTTATTTATTTATTTTAATAAACTGCCAAAATAAAAGTACAAATGTCACCAAGTAAAGATTGTTTTCAAAGTCAGTCTCAACTGTACACTGTCCACCACAAAATTAAAAATCCCTCAGTAGTTACAAAGTCACATCAAGTGAAGAAACAACGTTTTCCTGAGCGCTGCGAGCCAAATAGTGAAGCGGAACGCGATTAAATCCACAAGATTGTACAAACTTGTAATTCACACTAAAAAAAGCACCAAAACCTCACATCTACAAATACAATTGAGTGGAGAAAAAAAAATCTTAATTGCATTGTTTTTGCCTTCCATCTGTCATATTTTTCCAAATCTCCTTCACCTAACATTTACACAAGCTCTGCTGTGACTTTCCCTTCATGCATTGCACATTCCAACAAACTGGCTTATCTTTTATCTTCAGACTCCAAACCAAATATCACATATCGTTACCATCAAGAAAACCTTTTTAAGAAACGTGTCGATAACCTCCGAATCTGAAAGTGTCACATTTTCGGGGGCGGGGTTAAATTAGCTTTAAGAGGGTGAACCTATCATCACGTACGATCTCACGTGTTTTCGTCTTTTGTAGCGTTTATGATGCGGCCAAAAGAAGTGTGATGATTCCCCACAAGAAGCACAAATTGACTTTGTGATGTAGCGTTAGAGGTACGCACGTCTCTGATGATATCACGCAAGATTTCTTGGGATTTTACTGCCCTTCTATTTTCTTGTGTTGCTTTCACAGAAGAGTACTCGTGATGACAGAACCGTAAATGGGACTCGGTGGTTTAAGCAACGCTTTTATCTGCTCCCTCGCTGCTGAGTGCGACATGGCGAGAGCGGCAATAAATCCGCATCAGAAAACGAAAAGAACGGAATACAAACGGGGAAAAAAAAAGTCAGCGGTGATGAGATTTGATGCCCAGGCACACGTGTCATCAAAATTAACGGTGAGTATGCAAATTCCTTTTTTTGTTTTTTTTTTCATACTTCAAATTGGAAAATTATCCTCAACTTCAAACTAAAGCAACAGGGAAGGAAAGAAAGAAAAACATGCTCAGCTTGTCGATTGTCAGTTGCGCCCAAACAGGAGAAGCAGGACTGAGCAGCATGCGTTCGTGACAACAACACCGTGAAGCTTATCTTGTTCAAAAGGGAAAATCGCTTCTCATAAAGCTTAAGACTGACTGACACATTCCAGTTTTGAAAGTACGATAAAACCTCCATCTTTGACTTCTAAGTAGTTGTCATTTATAAAGTCATTTTCATGGACAAAATAACGTAACGTTAACTACGGCTGTTTTTCTTCCAACTGAAACTGGGCCCCTAGTCAAGGTAGGGCGAAGGATGAACCGATCTAAATAACAGTCAATGTTGGCATAAAAGCTTAACGCTATTGCTGAAAATAAAAATAAAATAAAATGTCAGTAAAAGCCGTAAATTTGACTGTGATTAGTTAATTTTGAACACAGTGCCACTTCCTTGTAACGGGTGTGCGCACTTATGCAACCAAATCTCCATTGTTTTTTTTTTTTAACCTTTCAGAAAGATTACAGTTAGTTTTTTTTTTGTCACTGCCTCGACTGGTTGGCTTGAGAGATCGAAGGTCTTTGACTGGGCAACCGAGGAGGGGCGGAAGAACAATGGGCACAACAACAGCCATGAGTACGTTCATAGCGATTCTACTTTGCCATCACCGGGTACGCTTCTGCGAAGGCCGCCAATTTCCCAGGGAACATTTTGGTTCAGGTCCCAATTGTAGCACTCGGGGAGTGTTTCACCGTTTTGTCTACGAAGACTCGAGCTGGCGCGTGAACACGTAGTTCAGGTCCCAATTGTAGCACTCGGGGAGTGTTTCGCCGCGTGAACACGTAAAGGCACGGTGAGAAAAGGACGTATTAAATAGACAACTTGGGGCTTCTTCTTACAGCGTGCTGAGGTTTTCAGCCATGTAGCTGAGGCTGTAGAAGTTGCAGGCCACGCAGCACACGTTGCAGAGCGACGAAAGCAGCCGGTAGAGCCGCAGGCGACCGCTCAGGTGGCGGTACTTGGCGTCGGTCTGACACAGCTTGGCGTAGGCCTCGCGGTTGGACGACAGGCCGATGTCCTGGCCCAGGCCGCACGCCTGCTCCACCAGGTGCATGTCGGCCATGATCTCCGACGTCATCTGGCCGAACCACTGGGCGTTGATCGCCGCCACCGTCACCGACACGAAGAAGATGAAGATCTGTCGGGGTGTAGGGGGAGAAGACAGACGTTTTTTAAAATAAAATTGTGTCCTTGTTCCTGTGGGCATTGATGCGCCCTAAGTGGCTGCGATACGTCGACGTGGCATATCTGCGCGTAGACTATGCCATTTTTGAGCATTTTGACTTTTTCAAGACCCATTTGTGCTGATCTCATCAAAAGCGGGGCATCAATAAAGTTGTTTCCAAGTTAGGAATTTACAGTGCTGCCCCTCCTGCGTCCATGTGGAAAAAAACATCATTGACAAATATGCTTGTCAATGGAGGGTTCAAATTTGTCTCCTCAAGATCAAGAAAGCTTGACAAAAATCCCAAGAAAAACGATTAATGTGCCAAATGGCGTGTGTGTGTGTGTGTGTGTGTGTGCCTGTTCCTGCGTTGTGAAAGCAACCTGAATGCCCCTTTGTTGCTTGCAACAGCAAGCATGTGACGTCAGAATTACAAAAATTGCATATTGAAAGACAACGGAGGACTTTGTTTTAGAAACAATGAATTCAACGGGGAAAGATGCCAGCGCACCCAAGTTGTCCCATCAATCAAGGCGGTGTCTTGAGTTATACTGTGCGACGCCCGGGGGGCGGAGGCTGTGCGGAGAACTCACTTGGAAAGCCTCTCGCTCGTCCAGCAGGTCGCTGGGATGGTACACTGCGAAGATTGTAAGGTTGAAGAAGGCGCAGGCCGAGCCCAGGTGAAGGTAGAAGGGGACCAGGCGGCTCTGAATGAAGCCGTACGTGTGCCTGTTCAGGTGGTTGTCCATCACAAAACCTGTTAGGGAAGCAACGTGTCCTCAGCAAGTTATGCATTGTCAGTGACCGGAATCGTTACATCCCTGTGTCGTTTTTTTATTTTTTTTTTATGTCTTGGAAAATAATGTTTTGGCAATGCAAGGTTTTTTCTTTTTTTTTTTTTTTTTTTGGCTTGAAAAATAATGTTTTGGCAATGCAACGTTTTTTCTGTTTTGAATTTAGATTTTATAATATCGGCGATGCGACGTTTCTCTGACAGCTACAATTTGGTTAATGATTTTTTTTTGTTGGGGCGCAAGTCCAAATGTGTGCAGTCTGTACGCGCTTTAAAGCCAGCCGTTTTTATTCGTCTTGAGAGGTCAGCCATTTTGCCACTTGCCTTTTTTTTTATTTTTTTATTTTGCCACTTGCTGCCGACTGAAAATGACATTCCATTCGCGTCACGGCCAATCACGGCTCTGCTTACAAATGGGACACAACCGAACTGTTTCCCACCTGTTTTCCGAAGCCATGACTGGCAGTTACCTCAGCAACTCATTTCCAGTCGACAGCAAATGGAAAAAAATGAACGACCCATGAGAACGATAAAAAAACAGGTGGAATTCATCTTCCACAAATGCTCATATTTAGGGACGTGACAGCGTCTAATACAGGCTGCATAAGGGCTTTCGAGGTCCGGATTTCGGCACCCTTGTTGTTTAGAAACTCTGCTGTGTGTCGCGTGGGTGTGGCACTAACTTGAAATGAAGGTGACCCAAATCTGCATTCCCCAGTAGGTGGAGAGCAGCAGCAGCTGGGCCAGCTTGACGCTGAACGGGGGTTCCTGGTCGGTGGCCATGCTGCCAACACTCGCTCCCGTGCCTCACTCGCCTCCGGGGTTGGGTGTCTCCAAATCCAAAAGGCAGAAGTTTTCCGGAAATGCCACCCAGTCAAATCTTGTGCCGCAGTGCTGTTCGGAAGACGCGACACATGTCAGTGTCGAGCATGTGACACACCCAAAGTACAAGCGCTCGTACTTGTTTTTTAAGGTTGGCCAAATGAGCGCAAACTTCCGCGCTGTTGTCAAGGAAACCTGAGTTTGCTCACGCCCACCGCCTAGCATAGCGCGGCTAACTGCTGCTAGCGAGAGCGACTATCGCCGAGGTTAAAACCACACTATCGTGTCGAATGACACTTTTTATATGGAGGCCGACAGCTTCGTATGCAAACAAAGCAAGCGCCGCTTCGTAAATGTCCCGTTTGCGGAGTGAGTTAGCAAAGTTTGACAGACCCGAGTTCACAAGTAGGGCACAAGGTTACATTTCAGCACACACACACTAACAGCAAACGCTTTTTAAAAATCCCTTTTAAGACCACGTAGCTCTAGCGAATATCCTAAATAGTTGAGAATATCTACCTGTGTGACGGTTGCTGAAGTTGAGAAAACAGCTAAGAGGAGGAACGGTAAAACTGGAAGCGTCGGAGGGAAGTTCAGCCACAACAAACTGGTTCCACCAAGCTTGGAGCCAACGCACGCAACACTTAAAATGTCACACGACGAATTTGAGACTTGCCATTGCAACTGCTTCAGCATTTGAGAGACAAGCAATAAATTAATCTGTTACAATAAATACCAACTTTATGATATACATGTACATGCTTTTGAAAATAAAGGCAAATGAAACGTAAATTAAAATTAAGACAGTTTTAAGTAATTCAACACTTTTGTCTTTCAGTCACGAAGACAACTTCAGAAAAATTATACCAAATAAATGTGGCGCAAACTACACAAGTTACTCAGTCATAACGTTCATGTTTCATGAAACAATTGATATGTAAACATGTGGACGACACTTTTTAAGCACTGATCTAGACGTTACAGTATATAAATAAATCCACACATACATAAAACCAAAGCCTCCAAATTACAGCCTTTGCCATTTTAAAATCGATTTCCACTACACTGATGTCGACAATCTCACGCACACGCACACACTTTTCAACCTTTAAAACAATTCCATTTTTTTCCAGAGATGTACCTGAACGCACCATTTACATTCGTGGTACCCTGACAAGTTACAAGTTTAAATCGTTCTTTGACAACACTTCCAGTTCAAAATAATCAATCACAAGTCATCTTTCCCCATTGGAATAAAAAGTAAATACAATATATGCACTGCAATAAAACAAATACAATAGCACTTGTACAGTATAAAAACACACCACCTAAGTGAAGAGAATGTAAATAATGGCCATGGGCCTCCATCTGATGAGGGAGGGGATCAAGGAAAGAGAAACTCCCCACAATCGCCCACAAAACTTCAATGGGCACCCAAAAGATGTTGGTTGTTCAATACACTTAATAAATTGAAATGCCAAAAATACCTCACCCCCAAATATTTTTTTAATACGTTTTTTAATAAAAACCTCATTAAAAATGACTGACGGAAATAAACTGAAGACACAATTTCTATATGTATGGAAAAGCCAAAAAATCACAAGAACGTCCGTGAGGAAGAACACAATTTAACATTATATGGAAAGAAAAAAATATGTACACTATTTATACAAAAAAAGATGCCTCTCAAAAAAAAATTTAAAAGAAATTCATTAAAACCTTGTCTCGTAGGTGACCTAAAGCAAATCCAGGAAACACAAGCAAAAAGTGTATGATGTCATTATCGTTTTGCTTTTTTTTTTTTTAAAGAGAATCCTGTTGGAAAATTAAAAATCAGCTTTTGTGGTCCTTGTCTTTGGTCTGCCGCAGAGGGTGAAGAGGTGGATGTGGACATGAGTCCTCACGAGGTACCACAATTTGAGGCAATGGCATCGATCCATCTCCTGGAAAAGTTCGTCCGAGACATCCACAGGTACGTCTCAAAATTATTTTGACCGGATTCCACTGCATAGCTCAAGCGTCCGCCTCGGTGGTGTCCTACAACTGAGTGTAGGTGGGGCAGGAGGATGAGGGCCAAGGCGAGGAGGACAAGGGGACATAGGCCACCAGTGAGGCTCCCGATGTCATAAACGGGACAGAAGTGGGTTCCACCTGGGGCGCCTCATGCCAGTTGCAGCTTGATGCGGACGGCGCGTGGACCAGCGCGGGGAGCACAGGTGCAGGTGCTGCAAACGTAAAAGATTGTGTAGATTTTAATTCACTTTACAGGTTAGATGGAAATTATGCAACAAAAAACAAATGTTACAAAATAATGACAAAAAAAGTGGAATATTAGTAGCATTGATCAATTCGAATAAAGTTACACTACTAACTAGAATAAATGTATATTTTCATCAACATGATTTTTTAAGGGAAAAAATGGAGGGATAAACTTATTTTAAAATTTAATATGCAATATTGAGACAAAGTTGGATGTGTTGAAAAAAATCAGTGTATTTTTTTAAAATCTCAACATGAGAATGAAAGCAGATCTTTTGAAATAAAAGTTGTAATATGAAGCGAATCAATGTAATATTTTTGAGAAGAAGTTTTCTTTCAGATTAACGCAATACCAGGGTAATAAATCTGTGTGTATTTACAAGAGTTTAAAAGTTATATTCTAATAAGACATGAATAAGGTTTCGCATTTTCAAGATTAAACAATTGTCATTATTTTAGAAAAAAATCAAAATTAAAAAAAATAATTTTGCATATTTTTGTGATGATGTATATTTTTAGATTCAAGTTCTAACATTAACAGAAAAAATGATATATTTCAGATTAAATAAATCATATTTGCAAGAAGTAATGCGTATGTTTTTTAATATTTTTTCTATATAAATATATTTTTCAGACAAAAAGTTTAATCTTTTATAGATGAGAATGGCATACTCATATGAGAATTTGGTAATATATTTTAAAATTGAAAAAACAAAACTATTTTCTTGATTAGTCATAATTTCCACAAAAATAATGTCGTCGTTTTAAAATCCTAATATGAAGAGAATTATTGGCATTTTCAAGATATATATTATAAGAAACAAGTCTTTTTTGAACCTTTTGAAAGATAACTCATTTCAGTCACATAAAAAGTCAATATATTCGAATCTTCAAAGTATTCAGTGTTCATCTCTTTGATGTCATCTGCTCTTGACAAATTTGACTTTGATCTTCAAAAAACAACACTGCAAACCTTCATTAAAAAACGCAAACTTTTTTTCCTTCCCAAAATATGACTTTGTTTTAAAAACATGTAAACCCCGTCGTGCAATTCGTAATTTTCTCTTGTCAATACTGGTGACAAGGACGTCACCAAAGTGAACCGAAAGATCTAAAGGTGAGATGTGATCAGCTCCTCTTACGCCGCCGCGTACAAGTGCGCCGCATCATACGATACCGAGAGATGTTTCGAGTATTGTGGTTACCTCGTGGAGATAACGGACAGCGGCGTAACATTGACAACATCGCAATTGTTTGGGGTTTTTTTTTCTTAATATGACAACACTTTTCAGAATGCAAATTCCAATCTAATGTTTATATTCATTTGGGAGTGCTTCTTTTGTGATGGAGTTTTTTGGAGTGATTTTTTTTCTTTTTAGCGGTGGGGGGGGGGGCAGGAATCATGCAATATTTCGGTATGTGAAATTCACTTTTTGAATTGAACCACTTAAATGAAATGCTAAGGTACGGAAATGCACCTGTATAAGCAAAACGTAGCGAGGGAAAAACTTTGGAGCTTGAGGTGCACCTATGCGGGTAGAACGAAAACTATTGGAGAAGGCGTACTTACTGCTCCGATTGTTGAAACCGGTGGCTGCGCTTCTCCACACTCTTTTTTTCTTTTTGCCCTGCACCAGAAGAAACCACTGTGCATTACGCACAAAAACTGCACTGGACAAATTTGTTGACTTTTGTGAAAATGAGGAAAAAAAAGAGGTGGCTCACGTAATTGTCTCTGCAGGACCAGCCCGGGTATGTGCTGGCGTGGATTACGGTGAGCCGCTCGGATTCCTCGTAGTATTTCTCCTGCTGTTCCAGGCTCAGCGACTTCCACTGCGGATGCGATCACTGTGTCAGCACACGCATTTGTGTCAAACGATAACGTGGCGCAAACACAAAAAATCACCATTTGCCCCATGATCTTGTTGACCGTGGCGCTGTCTTTATGAAGGAACTGGGCCTTGACCACGGGCCGCTGCTCCTTCATGAAGAGCATGAAGGCATTGAGGGGCTTCTTTATGTAGGGCCTGCTGGAATCCTGAGCTCCTGTTTTCCTCTTTTTCTTGTCGGGGAAAACAAAGTTCGTGGCTTTTGGAGGAGGAGGAGGAGGTGGTGGTGGAGGAGAAGGGAGAAAAAAGGAGTCCTGTGCCAACTCGTAAAAAAGCTGGGCATCACTACACACATACACAAACGAGACAACAATAAGTGTGTGTGAAGATGCAAATATCATGTTGGTGTGTGTGTGTGTGTGTGTGAGACTTACAGAACTTCAACAGGCATTTGGTTCACCTCCGCCGCTGTAACATTGACCTGCAAAAAAAAAAAAAAAAAATAGAAATGTTTAATAACCTGCTTGTTATTCACGTTTAAGTTGTAACAGGAACATGCAACTGCCTCGTATGTTTTTAAAACACTATCAACTATTTGGACTATTATTTCAAGCCTCATGTTTGCACGCGTGCTCCCAAAAGTTTTGTTTGTGTATTGTTCATAATTTAATGTTCATTCCCATCCGGCTGTTACTCATCATATAAAACAAATAAACACCATTAGACCTGATTTAAAAGAGGATAGTCCTTATCCCCCAGAGAGAATTTTTTGGGGACTTTAGTGAATTTTAATTCTGGCCTCAAAACGTTTGCGTGGTTTTTTTTTCCCCCCATAAAGTTATGCTTGAATCTTCTCTCTACCTGTTGTTGATTTAGGTCCGCGTTGATGACTTCTAAAAGCAGGTCCCACTCGACGTTTGCCGCCATCTCGGGTCGCGAAGTTTTTATTTAACTTGTTCACCTGGATGAGCGGCATTTTGCATCCCCCCCCCCCCTCCTTATATTCCCCTTTATTACGTCACGGGCCGTTGGTGAAAGAGCCGCGGCAGCTAAAGCTAACGGGCTAACAAAACCATCATTCGGCGTCGAATGTGCGTTGAAATAACGTCAATAGTGTTCAGTAGACTTCAAAGAGAAAAGATTTGTACCATCACGACGCAGCGAGGCTTCTCAAAACTGGCGGACTTGACGTGGTCGCCATTTTGAAAGCCAGTCTGGGTATACTTGGAAGTGAAAAAAAAAATCGGATAACATTCCAAACTTGATATTTGTGAAGAATAAACTTTTTACATTATGGCATAATTGATCAAGCTCCTTTTGTGTATGCATACCGTTTCAAAACAACACTTTATTTTGTAGTGTCAAACATTAAACCTAACTCAAAATGAGTTTGGGATCTTGCTGAACAATAAAATAACCTTATGTTACACGAATTTTAGTACAAAAGCGTACCAATAATATTTTTTTGACCATATAATTTAAGGATTCAAAACGTTTTTTTTCCCTTACCATATTCCAATTGATTATTTGACATGTACCTGGGGCGACATTCATAATGGGACGCTTAGAGTCCCATGTATATTTTAAACTATCAATCTAAAGTCGCTGAAACGTTGTTTTTAAGAACAAGTTTTAAAGTCCCCGGGTTGCGGTCCACCTCAAATACAGTACGGTACAGGTATAACCATCTTGGCACTCAAAATGGCGGCCAGCTCGAGTATCCTGGCGAGAAGACTCACCGCATCGTGATGGCCACAAAACGTACAGTGATTCTTTTTCTTTTTTGTTGTTTTAGTGTGTTAAACACACCGAAAAGAAGGCATTTTTTGCTCAAATTGGAAGCGGCCCTCGGACGACTTCCGGCCGTTAGTTAGCCATTTTGTGCCCATTAGCATTGTCGCCACTGCTCTTTGATTAACTGTCAAGTGCGTAGTACTTGCGCAAATGTGACGCACAAAGGAGACCCCAATCCTCGTCGTGATTGGCTAATTTCGGGAGGCCGCAATATTTTGGGTTATTTTTAAGAGGCCTCGATAAAAGTAACGCCGTTAGTAGCGAGGAGACATCGAGCGAGGATGACCAGCGTAAAAGTGCACAGATTTTTGGATTTTACCAACGCGGATTTAGGCGTTATGACCAGCAATCAACAGGTAAGGAAAATATTTTGATGCATGCGTACATTAGGCTTCAAGTCCTGTATCCATTTTATTTTGTGGCGGAAAAAAACGCTACTTTATCGTTCAAAGTAAATGCCTATAGTTTTTATTTAGATTTCCACTCGTCGGTAATCCAATCTTAATTTAAGTGAGGATTTCCAGTCAATTGTAAAAAATACATAAATATCCCAAACGCACGGGCAGAATTTTGGGGGAAACGTGCAGAAAACACGAGGCTTGAAATAAAACAATAGTTTCAAACAATGTTATAAATGTGGAATTATAGCTCCACTTTACTCCTCAAGGGGGACACGATAATGGCTTCTTAAACATCCGCCTGTTGCAGGTCATGCGACACCATGGGTTTTGGGTGACCTAAGATTTTTTTTTTAATTTACACCCTGAACTGGTTGCCAACCAATAACAGCACACAGACGAACAGCCATTCGCGCTCACAATTACACAGTGGGACAATTTAGAATGCCCGCGATCCTTGTGACGATGAGCGGATTAGAAAATGGATTCCTACTCATCAAAGTATGCAATAACGTTTTGTTTTTTTTGTTTGCAGGTCATGGGTGCACCGGTGGTGCTTAGGCGTCTTAATGTTCCATTTCCGTAAGTAAAACAAAAAAAATGTTTGCATCTTCACACATGCTTCCTGTTGCTACAACGCGTGTGTCTTGTGTGTAGGCTTGGACAGATTTCCTATATATTGCCCTTTGGCTCTTATCTCCCTTCTGGACCTCCACCAACACCACAAAAATCAGCGTAAGTCCTCTGCAAAATGTATTTCCACGAATGGCCACACACAGGCGACATGCATTTTGCTAATACGTTTGTTTTCCCAACAGGAGAAAGAGGACTACAGGAGACCACAACTCCGCCAAGCCATATATTAAAAAACCTCCCAATGCATTTATGCTATTTTTAAAGGAACAAAGGCCCCTTATCCAGGCCGAAATAATAAATTCAGGCACACTTCCAAAAGACAGTGCCACGGTAAATAAGATCCTCGGGATGATGGTGAGTGTTTGTGACACACACACATACACATACGTCCTCTCAAGTTGTACCCTTGTGTATGCTGACATTTTCTGATGATGTCCACAGTGGAAGTCGCTGGCACCCAACGAGAAGGAGAAATACTTCAACGAATCTGAGCGGCTGAATGACATTCATGCCAAAATGTACCCTGACTGGTCCTGCCGTAATAACTATGTGAGTCCCGCAGTCAATGAGTTATGATACAGTGGAACAATAATACTTAATAATTTACATCATGTTGGTTTTTTTTCGCGTGCTTTGACACTTGTTTTTGTGTGTGTTTTGTGCAGGGCAAAAAGAAAAAGAGAGAGTGGTGCCATGCAGCCAAAAGTTTCAACTATCCGACCGGTAAGTACTTATTATAGATCATATAGAAAATATGGTCAAGGCAAAAAAAAAAAAATTGCAATATATGCGCTCCCACAATTAAGCAGATGAAATTGACATCGTTCCCTCAGGCTCGCATTGCGGACGTCACGGCTTAATCTGCTTTCTGTGTTTGGTCACGTGACGTTGTGAGCCCGAAGGCACAAGAAAAAAGTCTCCTCGAATTCTTAACTAGAACAGTTATACCTCTGACCACACATGTCAATCAAAACTGAACATTCTTAGTGTCGGTCGAATTCTCCATTGAGTGTATTCATATTTAAATTAGTCCTTGAGTTACATGAGTGACACGTGTTTTTGTGGTTTGCGTTTGCAGCATCTCCACCCGAGGTTCACGTGCAGGCCCACGGGCCGTGCAAATGCACATGCAGGTGCAAGAAACGTGAGGACCTCAAGGCGGACCTGGTCTCCACTCACTTCGATGAGGCGATTCCGACATCCTCTTCCTCCTTGCCCTCGCCAGCGATGGAATCGGTCATGGCCTACCCGCCCTCCTTGCCCTCACCAGCGATTGAATCGGTCATGGAATCCCCGCCCTCCTTGCCCTCGACCAGCATCCCACAGGCTAAGCCTAACGAGGACCTGATCCTCACACTTTTAAATAACTTGGGAAATGTCGAAGCGTCGCAATGGGACGAGGCGTCCACCTCTTCCCTCTCGTCCACATGCACCGTCACCCCACACGGCGTTGAGGAGGACCTTACCTCCGCTCTATTCAAGGAGTTGGAAGCCCTGGAGGCGGCCGAAGCCTCCTTTTCATCTTCGTCCACATGTACCAACAGCCCGCATGAGGACGACCTGACCTCCACTCTTTTTAAGGAGCTGGAAGCCCTGGAGGCGGCGGAGGCGGCCAATGCGTCCTCAGCCTCCTTTTGGTCCTGGTCCTCTTGCTCCACTTACAGCGTGGAGTAGGCGTGGCCAAAGCAGAGAACGTGCCGGGTGTCCTCAACCCGGTTTGCACTTGGGACTATGTACAGTATCTATGCACAGACTGAATTTCTTGATTGATATTTTAACTCCTTGACTGTCGATTGACTCTTAATTTGTATCTGAGTGTGACGTGCATTCAGGCGTCAAGGTCACGTTACATCTGCCAACACTATGAATTGCTTTGTTTAGTTAATTTTTTAATGACAATTTTTACGATGAATTGCTTGTTTTTTATGAATATTTTAGTGACAATTTTTACATACATAATTTTAATAGATTTTTATATAGAGTGTTGTCACAATAATTGTCTTAACGGTGATGGGAAAGTCTGGTGTCAATGTAACCTTTTTACAACTTACATACTGTGTGCTATTTCTCTTTTTACATGTTTACAATTGTACATTACTATGAATGGTTTCTGAATATTTTTTAAAATGTATTTTATGAATTTTATTCTGCGGAAAATTACCTGACACCTGACCAAGCACAAATTTAGACAGTACAGAATTTATTATTATTATTATTATTGATTGATTGATTAAAAACAGTGTGTGACAAAAAAAGAAGAGGATCTTGTTTTTTATTCTCAAAAAATAATGTTTGCCAATCTGGAAAGTAACTGTTTGGCACTTTGTGACTTGAAGTTAAGATGATCAACACATGACACATTTGACAGCAACGAGCTAAGAGACTTGTGGTGCAATGTAACATAACTTCTATTTCATCACTTAAGACAGTCTTAAGGACCTGATATGACCTCCGACCGCAGAAAATCAGTGTCTGGCGGCCTTTGAAATTTTGTCGTAAACTTCAGGGAAAGCATCCTTGCAGCCGAGCTCCTGTCTCAATTTGTGATAGAGCTGCCCGTCGAACATGTCCCAAAACTCGGCGCGGTCCATGTAGACGTCCGCGTACAGCATCTGGAACCTGCAACGTCAAAGCAGAACATTTACAGGAACCGTACAAAATGTGCGAGTCATTTTATTTTTACAGGTCAAATTTACAGCCAAGCGTTTTTAAATGTGTTTACGCATGATGTATGTATAGCCCGTCTGAGCATCTTTCCCGCATTTTAAAAAATCTGTTTTTCTTATTGACTTTACATGTCGTGATGCAAATTCCAACGGTGCCACGTGAGGAAAAAAAACAACTTAAAATTGCGTCGCTCGAGCCATGCAGAGTTAAACCATCTTAAAATATGACAGGCGTACCCGTGGACGTCTCGGACAAATTTTTCCAGCCGCCTTGTCGACGCCGTTGCTTCAAAGTGTTTGACTTTGGGCTCGCCATATGCGCCGATGTCCACGTATAGCTCCTCCTCTTCGCCTTTGGGGTGGACCATGCCCCTTCCGGGTGGCAGGAGAAATGGGCAGAGCCAGAGAGGATAAACCTGAAAAAAACATTTTTGGAAGGTCCGTGACAACCTGAGGGATACGGCCTATAAAGCATATCACAATGACATTATTCAAAACAAATTTTGAAACCCCCCCCTCCCTTTTTTTTTCTGGTATTTGATTTTTCTACTACCCAAAAAGCTTTTTCTGGATATTTTTTATTCCCACTGAATTAATGAATCCATGCCTTCTTCTTGCACCTCCATGCCAGCAACAATGAAGTGGGCAGGCGAGATTCTTTTGGACAAAAATAGCACTTTGCCGCTGCCTTGTGGCATCTATAGGCAATTATAAAACATTTTTTGGGGGGGGGGGGGGATCCATTAATTGCTCATTTTTGCTGCTATCCTTAAATTAACATTTTTTTTAAATGTTCAAAAATGTCACATAAAATGAGCCATAAAACTGCATGGCTGAGTTGATCCCAGAATATTTAGTCCATCTTCAGCTTTCACAGCTTTTGGAAAAAAGTCTTTTGGCTCCATCGGAAAAATATTAGCGCTTGGAAGCACATACATTACTGCATTATTATTTTACATCTTTGGAAATGTTTAGTATAACAGATCGGATTGCCTTCTACTGGGCTCTAAGTGGGAATTAAAGTCACACTCCCCAAAAAAAAAAAAAATCAATGACTGGCCCAGCACCAAGGTCCGCATAAACATTCCACCCCTTACCTCGACGTCCTGGTGAAAGCGTGTGATGGCGGCCTCCAGGTGCTTCATGGGCACCAGCATGTCCTGGACCACGTGGTGCTGCTCGTACAGACGGCGGATGGTTTCTCCTTGCGTGAGCTTCAGCAGGGAGATCTTGGGGGGGACCATCCACCCGAAGAGCCAGCGGAACGCCGGGTGGTTGCCGAAGGGAATGATATCCTGGTGGGGAGACAGTTGCGACCATTTTATGGTATTTCCAATCATTTCAATCGCCGCACATAATAATCCAAATGATAATAATGCCATCCTTTGAAGTGCTACCATGCCATTTATTCGGTCATTACACCCCGCGATTGTGAGCACCGCTAGCTACACGCCAACTACACGGACATCAAAAAGACGTGAGTGGAAGGTTACGTTGCATCCCAACGGATAAATCTCGAGATATAGCCGAGTCAGCCTGCTCGCGACATGGCTTTCAAACCCGGCAGACGGCGTCTGTCGAGGCCAGCAGATGGCCACGCGTCAGAGCAGCCCAATGCATAATTAAACACGCCATTAAGTGGGCTGCAGCAGACCGCGCACAAACTAATGGGCTCGTGGGCCGCACGAGTAACAAAGAAGAGGCGAACATGCACAGCTGGAAATGTACGATGACGAGGCAATAAATATCTGGGTGTGTATGTGTGTGTGTACCTGGCAGGGCTGAACAATTAAACGAATTCAGATTGACATTGCAATTTCGAATGCAGCTGTCAAATGGGGAAGACTGTAATTTTGGGGGAAAAAAAAAAAAAAAACGGAAATCCGGTCTTTCAAAAAATAGTCACATATTAAATCGGAATATTGAGGGCTGAAAAAAAAAATGTCATTCGATGATTTTTGAAAATCATTCGACCCTCGTACCTGCAGTTCCCAGAAGATGCTGCGTGTGTGTCTGTGGTAGTAGTGTCTGAGCGGGATGTACTCCACTCCGCGCTTGCCGCCCGTCAGGTAGCCCTCCACGTGTCTGAAGAACCACGGTTTGAAGTGCAGGCCGATTCTGTTGATCTGAAAGTCAAACCAAATATGTCATTGTGACAAGGGTATCGTCACATTCTTTATTTGGTGTTGTTGGTCGTGATCACAAACACATTCTTGATTGGGTTTTAAGGTCCCAGTGTAGGCATGAAAAAAAAAAATTAATTACATCTCAGGTCCACTCTATTTTTTTGCCAATTTATATTTAGGCCACGAAACTCAGGAAAAGACATTTTCATCCCGTTTGATTTCTCACTGGCCTTCCTCTCCTACCTTGTCAGGCTCGGCGTGCTCGCTCATGCTGCCCGTCATGATGACGGCAGAGTCCAGCGCGAACTGGATGCCCTCCACGAAAGTGTTGCTCTTGTCCCGGGACGCCTCAGCGAAGCGGCTGCAGATGTTGTCCAGACCTCGCACCGGTTCGTAATGCAGCTTCACCCACGGCTTGGCGGGCACGATTTTGATCTCGGCTGCCACAAGGAAGCCCAGAGTGCCGCAGGACCACGGCACGGCGTGGTAGAGGTCCGAGTTCTCGTCCTGGTGGTGAAAACAATATTTTACGGTTGAATTTTTTTTTTAAAAAGGGGATGATAGATAGGGGTCGAGGTGAGGCTGTCTGTCGCTGGAAGGATTCCGCATCTACTGAGCTGGATAATTCCCGAGAAGAACCTGCAGCACTTCATGTCATTAAGTGGACTCTCGTGTTGTTTAAACGAACATTGTTCAGCATTCAGGCACGGCGCCAGGATTTTTTTTCTCTGCTGGGGCTCGGGAGGGGCTTGACCGATATCTCAGGGGAGGGGGCGGGGGCTGAGAAAAAGATTGATTTTCATCACTTCACTTACTTTCCAAAGTTCTTTTTTTTTTTTTGGAGTAAACACATGATGCACAGTTTGATATCAAACCAGTTTGAACTGAATTTGACCTATTGCGCAAGTAAATGAAAGCAAGTAAATAAAAAACTCGCCCCGGGAGTTCCTTGCCAGGATGGTGGAGGATGTTGTTGATTTTTGTAAACCGTGGGCCAGTGAAGCCCTTTGAGACTGTTTCGTGACAAAGGGCCACATCAACAAAATTGACGAGCACAAAATACGCTTTATGATCACGTTTTTCCTCCGCGCGTCTTACCTCACTGCAGCGCACGAAGCTGCCGTCAGCCAGCACCAGCTCGTAGGCCACGCAGATGTGCTGGAAGAGGCCGTGAATGTGAGAGGACGACTCGATGCCGGTGCCCATCACTAAACCACCTGAGACAAGACGAGAGGGAGGTTGAGAACGTGGCGTGATTTAATTTCTGGCAGCAAAACAACAGATGCCGCTCGCCGTGGACGCGCGCACGGACGTCAGGGTAAACGAATGCACGCCGGGCCTGATGGGAAAACATTAGGCCGCGTTGATGTGCAGTTTATGGCATCAGGAAATCCATTATGAAACCCGATCCCCGGGCGCCTCCAACTCGGCAACCATTTCCGCCCTGGGTTTTATCTGTTCAGCTCCAGCGTCGCTCCTCTAATAGTATTAAGGACGAGGCCAAACAGGAAGCAGTGATGGATGGAGGACTGAAGCGCCCACCCGTCATCACACCCCCTCCTAGTCTGCGATGATTCCCCCGAGACACGAATGCGACGTACCCACTGTGAGGTCATCCAGCTCGGGGAGCACGGGCAGAGTCCAGCCGATGGAGCTGAGGAGTGCCGTCACCTGACCCATGTTGGCCAGGGGCTCCACTCGCACCACCTGAACACCAAATAAACACAAGCGCAAACTTCATCGTGTGTGACGTCACGTCCTTAAATCTTGTGAGATTTCGGCTCAGTGGGTATCTAAACGGCACCTACAGTGGATCGAAAAGTCTATACGCCCGTGTTCAAATGCGAGGTTTTTGTGACATAAAAAAATAAAATAAAAAATTGTAACCTGTAACCGATAAATCTCTAGCAAAAAAAAATATTTTCAAGAAGGGACATAAAAAAAAGCTTCTACACCTTCAACCTTCTGAGAGAAAGCAAAAACATTGCACATCAGAAAAAGCCGACCACAACGATGAAAGATTTTTAGAATCGATTACACTGGTCAACAGGGAATTTTGATCAAAGATCATTTTATGTGTCGCTAAATGTATTTTTGATGCTGATTTTTCCTTTTTTTTTTTTTTTGGAAGCACTTCTGACCAATAAAAGCTTGCGCAATACAGATCTGACCATGCGTTGTCATTTTTAGGAATAATGAGTTTTGAAAGGCTGGAATCATAAGACATGAACAATTTTAAGTTAAACAATGAGTATTCACTTATTACACTTAATTTGATAATCCATTAGCTGTTGATTCATCAATTAATTCTGCCATCGCAACTTGAAATGGTGGCAGACGTGCAGACTCCCATTTGAGACGAGTCTACCGAACCCACCTACCTACTTGGGAATAACCCCTCCACCCCCCCCCCGCCCCCCAAAAAAAATTATCCAACGTGACAGGAATTTGCAAACAAACTTCTTCAATCCTCTTAAGCGTCATCTTGTGGCCGTGTGTTCCCCCCCACCTGCTTTTGGGTGTCCACCTCCAGGATGTCCATCATATTGATGGGGATGTTCCTGTGGGTCTTCTTATACTTGCCCACCCGCAGGGACACTGAAAGCCAGCCAGGTCGGCCCGTGCACATGAAGCCCTTGCAGCCCTCCTCCCGCCACTTGCGCACCTGGAAACAGGTCAGAGTTCCTGAGATTTGGTCAAGTACTTTTTCCACTAGGTCGGCAGTTGAGAATGCCTGTGTACGGTTTGACCTTATTTTTTGTGCCCTTTTCTTCACAAATGCCCAGTTTGAAATCTGTGCCTGGTCAATTTTACTCATCCAGACGCCATTTAATCATATTAGACAGAGTTTAGGGATAGTGTGTGCGTAAGTCATAAAATAAAATGTACACATATTCAGAACAATGCCCGTCACATTCATAATCAGTCAGGAACAAATCTTATTAAAAAGCAATATTTTGCTGAGTTTCATTTGCTAGATACTGCCATTTTATTTCTCATTGCTTTGCTTTTTCATAGTGTACTCCTACCTCATGCACTGAGTCGCAAGCTAACAGCCATTCAACGTGATCAGTGGTCACCGACAGCCGACACTTACCTTCATATTTACATTCATATCTAAAAGCAAAAAAAAAATCACTCAATTGAGCATCTCTTTGTATTATGAGTGAGTGCACAAGATTGCTAACACTTACCTTCATATTTACATTCATATCTAAAAGCTAAAAAAAAAAAATCACTCAATTGTGCACCTCTTTGTATTATGAGTGAGTGCACAAAATTGCTGTATGTGTGCATTTTATTTCATGCATGCTTTAAATATGCAGTTAATATATATATAACTTGTGGCAGTATCAAGTTGTCTCAGAATACTCCATCCATGTGAAAATGTCAGATAAATGACAGATATCAGAATTTTCGCTTTGTGGGTGGCCAGAGAATGGTAAAGGATGGGCTTGGCCCCCTTAGCTAAAAGGTAGCTCCGCCCCTAGTGGTGTTCCGTTCAATATTTTTTATAATATAATTTTTGTGTAAAATAACTTTCTGCGTATTAAACAAGTCATAAATATTCAGACCGAAGTGCTTTAAATAACCCCATGGCATTTATGCACAAGGTTGGATGTTCAGAGTTTTAGCTAGGCGAGGACCAATTAACCCCATGGCATTTATGCACAAGGTTGGATGTTCAGAGTTTTAGCTAGGCAGGACCAATTCCGACCTCGTCTTCTGCGCATGCGCCAGGTTTTCTCACCTGTCTCTGGATCTCACACACACGCTGTTTATGCAGTTTCGGCGCAGAGCACATCTTGAAGATGATCCAGGCTCGCACGTAGAAGTACACATCGAAAATGACGGACAAAGGCAGCAGAAACAAGCAAACGAACATCCAACGCTGGTGAACTAGCACGTAGTCGACACCTTTCACTTGGATCCACAAAAGGAGCAAAAGAAGCGCCAGAAAAACGAGGCCGAGCAGCGTCTCCATCGTGAACGCACACGGGGCAGGAAAAGCGCTGTTTGATACATCAAGTTAATCTTATCACACAAAAGTTCAGACTTTCCACGGAGATTGGTTTGTTAATGTGCCAAATAATAGCAACGGTCACCCTACCCCAGTGATAGGTCGCTGGACTCGAAGCCACGACTACTAGAAGACACTCATTGGGGGATTCCGCTATGAAGGCGGGATGAAGCGCAAATGCCTCACTGCGATTGGTCAAACACCCGAGAGTGGGCAATTATTTTTGGCAGTCTCGCCGGGCTTAGACCAATGGCAGCGCAAGAAAATGGTCACACCATCCCACCCTTAAGGCTGTGTGTGTCCCTGTGTGTCCAAATAAAACCGGTTTCTTGTGTGTATTTTCAATAATGGAATGTACGTACTGACAGTAAATTCAAGAATTAATATAAATGTTTTGGGGGTGTTATTATTGTACTGCATTTTAATAGCATTCTTTTTTTATTCATATGATGATTCTCCTCTGTATGCGATAAATATATTGAACACTGCAACGTTGTTATGCGTATGATTATATACGATCAATTATGTGAATATTAACAGACGTACAGTTATATTTTTACCGTATTCTTAGCTCTCACTCCACTCAATGTTTGGTACTGGAATAATATCCCATTTACATTGCATCATTTTAATGTATTTTACTGTTTCTCAAGTTTCCATGTGCAATATACCTATTGTATACATGCATCAAATGCATGTATACAATGTACATATTGGATACAGGCCTTTACACTCATAGTGAAAATGCTACGATAGCATAATTCAACATACAGTAATTAGATATTACTTAACTTACCAACATGCAACATCTGTTTTTCATTTTTGTAATCACTAATCAATCAATCTATCTACCTATCTATCTATGACGTAAATTCCGAGTACAGTACCATACTTATCAAGTTAAAGCGATCCTAAAATGTCCCTTATGTTGTCATTATCTGGTGAGCATATAGGCGAACAATGTAAAGGGTACTCATAAAATCTCTTTACAATTGAACACATTCACTCAAAGCACATTTAAAAAAATATGTGGAATCTGTGAATAAATCTGATTCACATATCCTACCACTTTTTTAATACTTTTTTTTTTTGTTATTGTAAAGAGATTTTGTGGACACTCTGTATGTATTGTTTGTGGGCCATCATCATGTTATTGGAATTGTTACCACACATGCTCTTGTTTCTGTAATTGATGTCACACGCAGAAACCCAGTTTCCATGTCATCATTTTCCTGAATACACACACACACACACACACACACACACACACACACACACACACACACACACACACACACACACACACACACACACACACGTACACTAAAGTGGTACGCTTCAGACACATTAGACAGAGGAGGGTGGGGCGCCAGTAAAGATTTCTTAATGGGCTCTTTGGTCTTCTTGTCCATCTGCTGCGATGACAAACGCGCAGCTTGTCCACATCAGCCCGCTCTGCAAACAAGTCCTCCATTTCATGTCAAAAAGCTCACTTCGAGCACCTTTCCCAAACCTGGAGCTTCACCTCTTCTTCCACTTCAGGATGAAAAAGTGAGAGGGTTTTATTTTTCTGGATTTCTTGAAGGAATACGTGGATGTCTGATCACCTTCCAAGCACATGGGGAGCCCCATCCCATCCGGACCCGAGTGACAACGTTCGTTCGGCCTCTGCGCTGACCTCACAGTCGGGAGGATGCCGTCCCTGCACCACGGTGCCATTTTCATCGGCGCCTTCCTCATCGTGACGGGCGGCTCCACCGCCTTCCTGGCCTCGTCGCAGAGCCGCTTGCAGCCCTTCTCCTTGTGCTGCGTGGTGCTGGGGGTGGTCATGCTCATCCTGGGGCTCTTCTGGGCCATGAACAGCAAGAGCACCTCCAACTACAACCAGCAGGAGTTTGACCCCGACTGCCCTCACTACCCTTACAATGAGTACGCCGGCTATAGCAGCCATGCCCTCTTTGCGCATGACGGCAATCGCTTCCCAGAGTCCCAGTCAGTGTTTCTGCCAGGGTGAGTTTGAAAAACGATTTTTTTTTTTTTTTTTACATGAAGGAAGTGGCTTTAGTTGAAGCAACCAGTGTCAAATTCAAGGCCCGTGGGCAAGATTTGGCCCTTCACGCCATTTTATGCGGCCCATGAAAGCTTGCCACAAATTTTCTTTTACTTTTGCTCTAAACAAAAGATTTTGTGCTCAGGCCAAGACAAAAGTGCAGCCGTGGTGCAATCTTGTGGTATCTTGGCGCTAAGGAACTATCTTGAAGTGCATCTTTGAGTACAGAGGTTAAAAGGATAACACAAACGTAATAGTACCGGTAGAATAATGTATTTGTCAAACAGTACAACGTGAAAACGTTTCTGGATCATTTTACATGGTGTGGGACTGTTAGTTCGAGGGGGTACAACACAAAATACTGTATTTGGGTTAAAATTCTACAATGTGTTGATTTCATTTTATCTGTTTATGAAACGTGTACTGCCTGATCAGGTCAGTGTCTGGAAGGTGGCCAACTTCGGCATTATTGGCCCAGGGCCATCGGGCCACTGTTAATGTTGGACCCTGGCTGGAACCTCGATTAGCTGACTTTGATACACCCTGGACTAGTTGCCAGGCAATGTCAGGGCACATACGGAGGAACTTTGATTTCATGGACCTGGATTTAGCAGCTTTAGGATTTAACGAACAGAAATTAGTGTCTAGTCCACTCAAAATGCCCTGTTCTACTTGTGGTTGTCACAGTCTGTTAGTTGCTCTTATTAACCGGCGCTGTGGCGCGATCAGCAGACAGAGACTGGTCCACGCATTTCTGGGTTGTGCTGCGGATTTTTAGTAGACGAGAACTGTCTAACAGACATCCCTGCATGGCGCATGGTAATGGAAAGCATGGCCATTCGCTCAGCACAGCTCATAAGCGGCATATCGTATCTATTTATTCATATATGGCTGTGTTTTGCTTGGATGCTAATCTGATACAAGTCTCTCAAAGATGCTGTAGCGTACTGATCATCAAGAAAACATGAACACCCCGAACCTCAGAACGATGAGGCACACGTGCATCCCCTGTAAAGGAGATAACAGTGCATTTGTTCTGTTCCCATACAGGACTCTGGATTGCCAAAGACAAGGCGCTCGGAGCGAGGACTTCGATTATCCCCCCATGGATCCCGGCGGCTTCAGCCCGCCGCCGCACCCCCCGCCCTGGCTGGGACCACCGCCTCCCTACGAGGTGGCCATCAAAACCACATGTAGTTCCACGCACCTGCGCCGCGCCTACTCCGACACGCACCTGGCCACCGAGCCGCTGTTCGGACGCTCCAGAGAGATCAGCTTCGAGGTTTAAAAAAAAAAAGAGACATCCATACATCCATTTTCGACTGCACTTATCTTCATTAGGGGTGACATCATGGGTGAGATGGAGCCTTGCCCAGATCACTTTGGGTGGAGAGAGGCAGGGACCTCCTTGGACCGTTTGCCAGTCGATCGCAGGGAGCATATAGACCAACAACTACTCCCACTCACACCTATGCACAATTCAAGAGTCTTCGACGAACACAATTTGCATGTTTTCGGAGGCATACAGTGAATATAGAAAGTCTACACCCCCCCAGTTCAAATGGCAGGTTATTGTGGTGTCAGAAACGAGACCCGGATAAATAATTTCAAAACTTTTTCCACCATTAAGGTGTCCGTCTGTATAACCTGTACAACTGAATTGATTTTTTTTCCTCCTCTTTTCAAGAAGGTAATTGACAAGTGTGCACGGACTCATAACTGGGATTTGGCAGTGTTCAGAAAAAGGCAATCACATTCGAACTCGTGTCAACTCTGCCACCACTTTAAGTGCCTCAAGTTGACCCCAACTACAACTTCAGCTGCTTTAGCGGGTTTTATTGGACCATAACAAAGTCATATGTGGAGTTTTACAAAACATTGAACACCATGCATATTGTTTTGTTTTAAAACATATTATTAAATGATTACAATTAAATGTTAAGATAATTTTTATTCATGTGTGTCTATATATATATATACAGAGAGAGAGAGAGAGAGAGAGAGAGAGAGAGAATAGTTTTACATATATAATAGTTATATATATTATTTAAAAAAAATTCAGATTTTATGCTTTTAGACTGAATGCTATACATATTATATTTGAATGTATTTTTTTTAATTTAAAAAACTATACTTTGGTGCCATTTGTGTATTTGTATTAATATATTTCTATTTATTTAGACACTATTTTTATTGCACAGGAATAAAAATGACCATCAGATTTCAGGCTTTTATCATGCACACCATGTATCACTATTTCTGTATTTTGGATTTCTGTTTTTTTTTTGTTAGTTAGTAGTGATTATATTAATTTCTTCCATTTTCTTATCAGTTGTATTTGAATGACATTTGTATGTTTGATGTCTGACGGTGACGTTGATGATGATGACTTGGACTATAGATGATGCATTCCGTTTATTTGGATATGAGTATCCCTGCATATGCATGCTTTTAAGGGTTCATCATGCAAGACAACAGATAAAAGACTCATGCAACAGACTTCCAATACTGTGTGTGTGTGTGTGTGTGTGTGTGTGTGTGTGCGTGCGCGCGCGCGCGCGCGCGGGTGTGTGTGTGCGCGTGTGTGAGGTGAGAGAAAGTACGCGTGTGTGATTGTATTCATATCAAGTGAATAAATTTGTGATTTAGGGTGCAACTGCTGGCTGTCTTATTTTTACACTTATGGTTAAAATACTATATTATGCTACGTGATAGTATATTATGCTATGCTAGTTTTTATTTCAACAAAAAAATACAGAAAATCGACTACATTGCTCTTTTGAAACGTTCAAATTATATTTCAGCAAAATCTATACTTGGGAGATGTTTTTTTCAATTCAAAATGGTCACGCTCCAAAATTTCTGTCACCCGACTAGTTTGGGAACTGACTTGATTGCTCCCCCTACTGGTTGCTGCCGAGTAGTACAGTTAAGGACAACCCCACTGCTTCAACGCATTGTGACGAGACATGGCTTATTTCTTCCTATTTTTTTAAACTGATTTTTTTGTACAACATTGTATTATTGCCTATATTTTTCAGATATTTTTTAGTCTTTTATATTTTATGAAATAAATATTAT